ATTTCTAATTTTTTGAGAATCGTCCATACTGTTTTCCAGAAGGGCTGAACCAGTGGACATTCCCACCAACAGTGAAGGAGTGTCCCTTTCTCGCCACATCCACGCCAGCATCAGTTGCTTTTGTTCTTTTGAATGTGGGGCAGTCTCTGAGGTGTGAGATGGTATCTCATTGTGGTTTTGATCTGCATCTCCCTGATGATTAATGATGTAGAGCATTTTCTCATGTGCTTTTTTGCCATTCGGATTTCTTCTTTGAGAAAGTTTCTGTTCATTTCATTGCCCCATTTTTGGATGGGGTTGGATGTTTTCTTCTTGTGGAGTTTAACCAGTATTTTGTATATCCTGGATATCAACCCCTTGTCAGATGTGTATTCGGTGAATATCCTTTCCCATTATGTAGACTGTCTTTGTATTTTGGTCACTGTTTCTTTGGAGGTGCAGAAGCTTCTTAGTTTAAGATAGTCCCATTTATCTATCTCTGTTTTCACTTGCTCGGCCAGTGGCGTGGCATCTTTGAAGATACCATTAGCTTCAATGCCATGGAGGGTTTTGCCAACTTTATCTTCAATGTACCTTATGGTTTCTGGTCTGATGTTGAGGTCTTTAATCCATTTTGATCTTACTTTTGTACATGGTGTTAGGCAGAGTTCTGAGCCTATTTTTTTTTGCATGTAGCCGTCCAGTGAAGCCAACACAATTTATTAAAGAGGCTTTCCTTACTCCACTTCACATTACTTGCACCTTTATCAAAGATTAGATGAGCATATGATTGAGGGGAGATGTCAGTGTATTCAACCCTGTTCCATTGGTCTGCAGTTCTGCCTTTGTTCCAGTACTATGCTGTTTTAATTATTACTGCTTTGTAGTACAGTTTGAAGTTCGGGAGATTGATTCCTCCCATTTTCTTTTTCCCAAGAATTGCTTTAGCTATTCGTGGGGGCTTATTGTTCCATATAAATTTCAGGAGTGTTTGCTCCATTTCTTTGAAGAATGTCATGGGTATCCTTATAGGGATTGCATTGAATTTATACAATGCTTTCGGTAGTATTGCCATTTTGACAATGTTAACTCTCCCGACCCGTGAGCAGGGGATATCTTTCCATTTCCTCATGTCCTCTTTTATTTCCTGAAGTAGCGTTTTGTAGTTTTCTTTGTACAGGTCCTTTACTTCCTTAGTTTAGCTGATTTCTAGGTACTTGATTTTCTGGGGCACAATTGTGAACGGGATTGTTTTTTTCATGTTGCTTTCTTCTCTCTCACTGTTTGCATATAGGAAAGCCATGGACTTTTGGGTATTGATTTTATAACCTGCAACTTTACTATACGAGTCTATTGTTTCTAGGAGTTTTTTGGTGGAAGTTATTGGGTTCTCTAAGTAGAGTATCATATCATCTGCGAATAGTGAGAGCTTGATTTCTTCCTTTCCTACCTGAATGCCCTTAATATCTTTTTCCTGCCTAATCGCTATTGCAAGTACTTCCAGTACTATATTGAACAGCAGTGGAGAGAGTGGGCATCCCTGTCTCGTCCCTGATCTTAGAGGGAAGGCTCTCAGTTTTTCCCCATTGAGGATGATGCTTGCTGTAGGCTTGTGGTAGATGGCTTTAATTATGTTGAGGAAGGTCCCCTCTATACCCATTTTGGCTAGGGTTTTCGTCATAAAGGGGTGCTGGATCTTATCAAATGCTTTCTCTGCATCTATTGATATAATCATATGCTTTTTATCTTTTCTTTTGTTGATATGGTGGATTATGTTGATTGATTTCCGAATGTTGAACCATCCTTGCATCCCTGGGATGAATCCTACTTGGTCATGGTGTATGATCTTTTTGATGAGTAGTTGGATTCTATTTGCTAGTAGTTTGTTGAGGATCTTTGCATCTGTGTTCATCAGGGATATCGGCCTGTAATTCTCTTTCTTTGTGGTATCTCTGTCTGCTTTTGGTATCAGTGTGATATTTGCTTCGTAGAAACTGTTCGGAAGTGTTTTTGATATTTCAATTTCGTGGAAAAGCTTAAAGAGCATTGGGAGTAAGTCCTCTTTACAGATTTGGAAGAATTCACTAGTGAATCCATCCGGGCCAGGACTTTTGTGCTTGGGGAGACTTTTTATTACCATTTCAATTTCCTTGATGGTGATAGGTCTGTTCAGGTATTCCAGGTCTTCTTGGTTCAGCCTTGGGAGTCTGTAGGAGTCTAGGAATTTATCCATTTCCTCGAGGTTTTGATGTTCCGTGGCATAAAGCTTCTCAAAGTACTCCCTGAGGATCCTCTGAATTTCTGTGGTTTCTGTTGTAATGACCCCCTTTTCATTTCTGATTTGGTTTATTAGGGTTTTCTCTCTCCCTTTCTTTGTGAGTTTTGCTAGAGGCTTATCGATCTTGTTAATTTTCTCAAAGAACCAGCTTTTGGTTTCATTGATCTTTCGGATTGTTTTTTGGGTTTCCATCTCGTTAATCTCTGCTCTGAGTTTTATTATTTCCTTTCTCCTGTTTGGGTTGTGCTCCTTTTTTTGGTCCTTCTCCAAGCTCTTAAGCTGTGAGGTTAGGTTACTTATGTGTGCTCGCTCCTCCTTCCTGAGGAATGCTTGTAGAGCTATAAACTTTCCTCTTAACACAGCCTTTGCTGTGTCCCATAAGTTTTGGTAACTCGTGTTCTCATTTTCATTCGTTTCTAGGAATCTTTTGATTTCCTCTTTGATTTCCTGTCTAATCCACTCGTTGTTCAATAGTGCACTGTTTAATTTCCAGGTGTTTGATTTAGTTTTCTGTTTTTGTGTGTGATTTACTTCTAATTTCAGCGCATTATGGTCTGAGAAGATTGTTGATACAATCTCTACCTTCTTAATTTTATGGAGGCATGTTTTGTGGCTCAGCATGTGGTCTATCTTGGAGAATGTTCCATGTACACTTGAGAAGAATGTGTATTCAGCTTTTTGTGGATGAAGTGTCCTGTATATATCTACTAAGTCCCTTTCTTCCATTGTTTCCCTCAAATGAAGTATTTCCTTGCTAAGCTTGAGTCTGGTTGATCTATCAAGAGGTGACAAAGCAGTGTTGAAGTCTCCCACTAGTATTGTGTTGCTATTGATGTCTTTTTCCAAATCTACTGGGGTTATTCTTGGGTGAGCCAAGTGCAAGGCAAGAGCCTTAAGCCCCATCTTATCTTCCCAGTTCCCAGTTGTTACTGTTTCAATGACTTTTAAATAAAGCTAACATCTGTGCAAAATTTCACATTTGTTCCTTTCAAAATTTTCTTGCTTCTTAGTCTGTCAATCAGAATGGCAGCTTACTATTTTATTTAGTTTTATGTCATTTGCAAATATAGAGTGTCTATTGTGGTGTAAAAATGCAGTCTATTTCAACAATAATACATTTTCAAATTATTTTTTTTAATCACTCACTTATGGTGATCTTTACTGATCTTTACTGAGTTTGCTCATCTTCCATCAGCTAGTGACTACTTAAAAGCTGACTTTTGTCGTAAGTGGCTTCGGCTGAAATGATGGAGCTTTCCTCCTCAAGATTTGATCCTTCACTCTCCTAGCTTGAGGTTTTACTTACCATTGTGACAGAGATAGAAAGCACCAAAGACTCCTGTTAGATTTCTGCTTCTTGTATAGACTAGCACTCCGGAAGTAGACCTGCAGAAAGACAGAGATAACATAAGAATCACAATGCCAACGATTTTTTAAAAAAAATTTTGAGTCACACTTGGCTATATTCAGGGAACACTCCTGATAGGAAACCACGTAGGACGACCGGGACTGAACCCAGGTCAGCATGTGCTTAGGAAAGCACCCTACCTGCTGTACTATCCATCAGAGGTAACGTGGTGTAAAGATGGCCACAGACTCTTAGATTCTGCTATTGAGAGAAATGGAATCTCTATCTCTCCTCTTCAAACTAGGGTGAAAGAGATCTGTCATTGTTTAACCACAGAATACTGCAGAAAAGACATATGCCAGTCTCCACATTCTAATCCTAAAAGACTGTCAACTTTGCTTCCTATGGTTTGGTTAGATAGAACCACTAACTCTTGAAAGCCAGCAACACAGCTTGCAAGCCACACAGAGAGGAGATGTCTGTGTGCTCCAGTTAACAGACGTAGGTGACTCCTTCACCATTAGCATCATTCGCAGACTGTGGTCCAGCCACTTCATACATTCTGTCTGGACACAGCTCTAGATGATTTCAGTCTCCTCTGTCTGAATCCAGTTGCACGCCAAACAGGAGCAGTCCAGCTGAGCTCAGTCAATCCACAGAACTGTGACTCATCATCATAACTGGTTTAAATCACAAAGATTGAGGGTGGTTTGTTAACCATTAACCAAAAAAAAAAGAAAGAGGGACATTAGTCTGGTTACCTGGTACTGTTATACTTGAGGTAAAACTCGAAAATAGTAATAGGAAATAGATTAATAGGAAATAGATCTAGAACTCTTTTAGTTGGAATGAAGAAACAGTGAATAGAATTTTCTATTTCTGAGTTATATATTGATATAATGAATCAAAGAAAATAAGAAAACAAAGAAAGCTCAAAGATTAAGTATATGTAAGTGATATAAGCTGTACAGTATTTGGCATTTACCACAAGTCTGATGAATATTAATAATTGCTATCTTATTTTTCCCCATTTTTATTCTTGCACTCCCTTGTCTTGGCCGAAGACAGTATTATGTCCCAAATCTCCTCATTCTATTGTAGTATATAAGATAATAAAAGCGGTCATTCAAGTATATCTCCATTGAAAGAAGTCTGGGAAAGGGTCACTCCTGTCAGGATTCTATCCAAAGAAATCACTGTGGGCTACTTTTGTTCTGCTTAATCAGAAAAAAAAATCCAAGTGCAGTTGACCTCTCTGTCTTAGAAACAGTGTTTTCTTAGAAACAGTGTTTTGTGTACCTATTTTACAACCATAACAATGAAACATTTTATGCGTGAATCTGTGCTGTTGGACAAAGTATTCTCCAGTGTTATACAACTCTCTCTTGCTTTCAGGTGTTCCAAAGCTGATTACATCTGATATGGTTAAAGATGGCGCTGCTGTAATTGACGTGGGTATCAATTATGTCCCTGACCCTGTGACAGGAAAGACAAAATTAGTCGGAGATGTGGACTTTGAAGGTAATAAACTATTTCTTTTAATAAGTAAGGGAAGAGGGGCTGGAGAGGTTGTACAGAGGGTATGGCATTTGTCCTATATGCACTTATATGGTCTCCAAAGCTTTGCCAGGAGTGGTTGCTGAGCACAGAGCCAGGAGCAAGCCCTGAGCACTGCTAGGTAAAGCCCCCAAACGAGCAAACAAATCATTAAAGAAAAAAATAATTCTACTTTGCATGTACAAAAAAACTTAACGATTTTAAGGACATGTTACTAAGTTACTAATCAGCTGTTCTGAAGGAAAAGAGGTCAGAGCTGAGTGTAGTAACTTTGTACATCAATACTGTGAACTTGAACACTATTGTAATCATGTAACCAATGTGTAGTAATAATTTTAATAAACCAAGTGTAACCAATTTTTTTTCTAATTTATTGGTGACAAAACTGAGCCATTAAGACAAATATGATTCCAGATTCCTGACCCCTAATCTATTTCAGCTACCAATATCTCTGTCAGATACTTTCCTGTATTAAGGTTTCACTATAGTCTTGGCTGGAGCGATAGCACAGCGGTAGGGCGTTTGCCTTGCACACAGCCAGCATGGCAGACCCGAGTTCAATTCCTCCGCCCCTCTCGGAGAGCCCGGCAAGCTACCGAGAGTATCTCGCCCACACGGCAGAGCCTGGCAAGCTCCCCGTAACGTATTCGATATGCCAGACACAGTAACAACAAAGTCCCCAATGGAGACGTTACTGGGCCCGCTCGAGCAAATTGACGAACAACGGGAGGGCCTTTACCTTTTTTTTTACCTATAGTCTTGGAATCTTAGGTGCTAGTAAGACATGACTATAGTAAAGTAAGTGAAAGCACTTTATACTAGAAATAAATATGAATTTTCTGTGGGAGGAGCAGTAGTACAACAGGTAGGGTGCTTGCCTTACATGCTGTGACCAACCCAGGTTCGATCCCTGGCATCCTATATGGTCCCCCCAAGCACCACTGGAAATATATCCTGAGTGCAGAACCAGAAATAATCCCTGAGCATCACCGAGTGTGCCTCCACAAGTAAAAGTTATAAATAAATATGTATTTTCTGATAGAAAAAATATCAGGTTCATGTTTTGTTGTAACTGTGTCTTGATGAACTGAACGGAATACACGATGCAGTTTTTTTAATTATTCACAATTTGCATTTTTGCTTTGAATATGGTTATCAGCTAGCTTATGGCTTACCCAACTTATCACATAGTGTTAAGTAAAACTGAAAGTAGAGATACGTGGAAATCTCCTAAGTAATTGTACTGGTATATATGAGATTCCAGGGTACATGAAACCAGATCCAGATTTGCAATCTGAGCCTGTACTAAAAAAAAAAGGTAAAAGGAAAAAGAAAAACTGGATGCATATACACTATATATATATGCATAAATATGTACAGTTCGTGTCTGTGTATACACAGTGTGTATGTGTATATATATGTACATATATACATACACATTATATATGTGTGAATATATGTGTTTGTGTGTATATGTGTGTGTACATGTATATGTATACACACATATACACTCTATGGGCACAAAGAGGTCTTCGAGAGCAAAATACAGATGTGCCTTATCCAAGAACATGCTGCTGTCCTCACAGGATGTCATTCACAGGATTCCTGTCAACTTTGGGGCCTACAGTCCATAGATGTGGGTGTGCAAGTGAACTGTGTGTCTGAGTATGTAACTGTCACTGTCACTGTCCTCCCGTTGTTCATCGATTTGCTCGAGCGGCCCCAGTAACGTCTCCATCATGAGACTTGTTGTTACTGTGTTTGGCATATCGAGAACGTCATGGGTAGCTTGCCAGGCTCTGCCATGCGGGCGAGATACTCTCGGTAGCTTGCCGGGCTCTCCTGAGTCTATGGGTAAATATTAGCAGCGCATGCAGCTGATATGCAGTTTAATAGTTGACCTTGTTTCTCTATTTTAGTTTTTATGTTCAATCATAGCTCTTGCATTCGGAGATGGTCGTTCCGTTGAGAGCGAATGGGGCGTCAGGAATGAGACTGTTTCTAGCTATGTGTACCTAGGTTGAGAGGTCAACATGACAAATGACCTGGCACCCGAGCTGTGCAGGAGTAAGAGAGCGGCTTGGAACGCCTTCAAGAACATCGAAGAAATAGCTAAGAGGACGAAGAAACTCCGGCTCCGGGCACATCTCTTTGATTCCACTGTTCTTCCTGCATTAACATATGCCTCAGAGACCAGGGCCCTACGCAAACAGGATGAGAACACTATTCGGGTCTCCCAAAGAGGAATTGAAAGAGCTATGCTTGGAATATCACGTTTCACTCAAATGAGAGAACGAATCCGGAGTTCCGACATCCGTCGAAGATCAAGAATCATGGACGCTGTCTCATTTGCCAAGGTGTCAAAAATCAGATGGGCTGGTCACATAATGAGATTTAAAGACGACCCCTGGACTAGAGCTGTTACCGACTGGATTCCACGGGATGTCAAAAGACCACGTGGCCGCCCACCTACCAGATGGTCAGACTTCTTCGTCTAGATCATGAACAATCGGTTTGAGGCTCTTCATGTTCCCGGAGCGAACAGATGCCATCGGGTACGCTAGCACGCGACAGGGACAAATGGAGACGTTACTGGCGCCCGCTCGAGCAAATCGACGACTAACGGGAAGTTAAGTGATTAAGTGATTAAGTGATGTTCAATCATTAGTGTCAGATATCAATAGTTTATTTGTATTTTTGAAAGAATAAGAGGCATTTTTTTTCATTTTATTTATTTTTCTTTTTTAAATTTTTATTAGTGAAACACCATGAGGTACAGTTGTACACTTACAAAATTTTGTGCTTGGGTTTCAGTTATATAGTGATTGAGTACCCATCCCTCCACCAGTGCCCATTCTCCACCACCAATGATCCCAGTATCCCTCTCACCACCCCATCCCCCCCACCCCACCCTTTTGTTCTCTCTCTCCTTTTGGGTGCTGTGGTTTGCAAAAGAGGCATTGAGTAGCAATCATGTTCGGTCTAGAGTCTACTTTCAGTAAGATGCGTTTTATTTTAAACGTGACCTAAATCTTTTTTCCTCCTGTCATTTTTTTGCCTCTTGAAAACCTTATAGTATGGTTATTCATTGCAGAATTTCTACATAGTTAAGAAGCTCCTGGAAGGCACAGGCAGCCTATGATAATTGGCTCGAAGCCAAAAATAAAAAGCCAGGAGGTTTGCACTTCATAACCCTGACTACTCATAGGGCAAGGTAACCACATGTTGTGATTCTCCTCCAGGATATTTTTTTGGTCTTAAGTCATTTGTTTCCATACAATTTTATCCTTAGCAAGATTTTTTTTCCTTCCCCAGATTAATTCTGAAAATATTTAAGAATGAGCCTTTTTTGTGTGGGTGCATATGCTGGGTCCCACAGAGGTATAGATTTCAGGTTCACTGGGTAGCTTAAGTCAGTGTTTCTCAACTTTTTCCTCAACTTTTGTGGTCCCCTTCTTTGTTTTCTTCCTATGACACCCTCCCTCCCCGCATCCTGCATCCTACCAGTAGACTCCCCTTGTTCTTTTGCCATGGACCCGCATTTAAATGATTTTCATCTATGCCCTCCTTGGAATATACTTGGGCCCCACATTCAGCTATCTGGCCCTCAGTTGAGAAACACTAGTTTAAATCATATTATGTGTATCTAAATATATAAGGAAATAACTAAGAGAAACCAAAATGTATAATAAACAGAAAAGGAATAACAACCTGGGACACTGAAGAGGTGTTTTTTGTTTTGTTTTGGGGCCACACCTGGTAATGCTCAGTAGTTACTCCTGGCTTTGCATTCAGGAATTAGTCTTGGTGGTGCTCAGGGGACCATATGGGATGCCAAGAATTGAACCCCGGTTGGCGGCATGCAAGGCAAGCGCCCTACCCACTGTGTTATCTCTCCAGCCCTTTGAAAAATTTCTTTTAGTTGATCTTTTTATTGTAACCTGACAACTTTATATCTTCACTGACTGTCTGGGGTGTTATCAGGTTTAGTGAAATCGTCGACTGCCTCAGTTCTGATGTTTGGTGCATCTTGAAGTTTCAACTGAGTAGGACTAAATGAGCATGTAGAAAGACAGAATCTTTGGGACTATCAGGTCTTCTTGAGCTTATCATAAATATACCCATATGATTGATACCTCATTCTTGCCAGCCTGCTAGTTCATGGTGCCTGAGCCCTAGGGAAGCCCTGGACATGGTATAAAGTATGTCTTGCCAGCAAGGCTATGACTCAGCCATCCTGAGTTGCAGGCTAGTGATAGGTTTTGACATGTTGCTTTTCAGGTTGTTCATCAGAACTTAACCTGAGGTGAGGGATGATCCCACAGCTGGGAGGGAGGGACTTGAACTTGGGCTATGCCACTCACCTTATAGGTAGCATTTGGCTGCAAATTGCCATGGGGAAATTGTGGCTGTGCTTAGCGAGTATCGGTGAAAGTTTCACTAAAGCTATAGCCAAGATAAACAAAATATATGTAGGCAAAAACAAGTATTGACGCCAATTACCTTTGTAGAAGTTCTTACTCAAAAAAAATTGAGAGAGAAATAAAAAAATGGCCCAGTTTAAGATTATACTGATGAGATTTATTTTTAAGAAATAATTTAATCAATTACTACATTAGGGGGATGTTGGAAATATGTCAATAGTTGAAAATTTGATAGTATGTAAAAGCAGAAATCATTTCATTCCTTTTATATCTTAGAAAATATAGGTGCCTGTTTTGGATCAGTTCCATTATTTGCTGGTTTTCATTCAGCTCCTTTTAAGAATGATATTTTATATCAGATATGGCCTGAGGTTATATAGTTGTTAAGAAAAGGAGACAGAAACATTCTAAATATTCATGCTTGATTTTAGTATCAGGTTATTGTTGAAGTATTATTTTAATAGTGCATAGGTTTCAGATGTATAGTACTATAAATCAGTATTTGTATCTACTGCATTATGATCACCACCAAGAGTCTAA